CAGAAGATGTTGGATAGCACCAGTACACATGCAGGTGCCTTTTTTGAGGGACGGCTGCAAGAAGCATTGGCGTCAGCTGCTCCTGAGCAGGGGAAAAATGTTGCAGATCTGAAGCTGCGTTTCTCTGTTTTACAGTCACTTGGGTTTGTGGTTGGAAACGGGTTCCAGCTCCATTCTCCCGTTGTTCGCACCATCCAAGAACTCAGCAAGCTTCGCAGTTGCTTTGAACCTTTTCGACAATATTCCAGGAAGTGGGGGCGCCGTAGCGCAGTCTGGAGATACAACCCAACCCATCTTGAAGATGCATGGGAACGGCTTCAAAAAGCAACCGCCTGTGCCTGGGAAAGCGCCGGTGCAGACAGCACAAAGTTCATGCAGAAAATGCGTGACTGCTACAATGCAAATGCCAGTTTTCGTCACAGGCAGTTGCAGTACTGGGAGAGGCAACAGATGGCTTCCCAGGACAAGAACAACTACCGGCCCAGGAGACTGCAACAGAGGAGCACAAAGCGCATGGAACTTTGGGAAAGGCAGCACATGGCCAAGCATGACAAGAACAAGCACCGGCCGAAGAAGTTGCAAGACAAAAGCACCAAGAGCCTGGAGCAACGAGAGCGGTTACGAATGTCAAGGCAGGACAAGAACAAGCACCGCCCAAAGGGCTTGCGAGACAAGGGCACAAGCTGCTTGGAACGCCGGGAGCGCCAGCAGATGGCCATGGAGGACCGAAATCGGCACCGGCCATGGCGACTCAGAGTTTCTTCACAGGAATCGATCCGGGGAAAAAAATTGTCAAGGAGCCTGTCCGCTTTGAAAACATTGCTTGTGAGATGGGAGCATTTACTTAACAAACAGGCGCAAACCACAGAGAAAGAACACCGCAAAGCTTTGCGACTGCGCAAGTTGCAGCAGAAGAAAGACACTGCGAAGCGCAGGCGGCAGGAAGTGCTCAACCAAAAGCGGGTCCGAGAGGAAGAACGCTTGAGAAGAGAAAACCTCCGAAAGCGGATGAAATCCAGTGACTTCATGGACAATATTCCGTGGATTTGAATGGTTTTGCTACGTTTGGCTTTCGCGCATTTTGGCGCGAGAAGATGCAAGAAGGGTTTTCATGCGCAGCCGATCTGCATCTCGAAAAGAGGTGCGGACCTTTTTCCCCACATTGACGTGTGGGGTTTTTGTTTTTAGTTCTGTATCCGCTCCTCCTCGTCCTCCTTCCTTCCCGTCCTCCCTCCCTCCTCCCTCCCTCCCTCACTCACTCACTCACACTCACTCACTCACTCACTCACTCACTCTCACTCACTCACTCACTCACTCACTCACTCACTCACTCACTCACTCACTCACTCACTCACTCACTCACTCACTCACTCACTCACTCACTCACTCACTCCCTCACTCACTCACTCACTCACTCACTCACTCACTCACTCACTCACTCACTCACTCACTCACTCACTCACTCACTCACTCACTCACTCACTCACTCACTCACTCACTCACTCACTCACTCACTCACCTCACTCACTCACTCACTCACCTACCTCACTCACTCACTCACTCACTCACTCACTCACCTACCTCACTCACTCACTCACTCACTCACTCACTCACTCACTCACTCACTCACTCACTCACTCACTCACTCACTCACTCACTCACTCACTCACTCAGCCTCTTTTGCGTGGCAGGCGTGGGACAATGTGCACCGCCAAGGGGTCGGATGTACGCCCTGGCGTCCCTTGGGCTCCGCCTCGTTTGCGTGGCAGGCGTGGGACAATCTGCACTGCCAAGGGGTCGGATGTACGCCCTGGCGTCCCTTGGTCTCCGCCGTTTTTGCGTGGCAGGCGTGGGACAATGTGCACCGCCAAGGGGTCGGATGTACGCCCTGGCGTCCCTTGGTCTCCGCCTCGTTTGCGTGGCAGGCGTGGGACAATGTGCACTGCCAAGGGGTCGGATGTACGCCATGGCGTCCCTTGGTCTCCGCCTCGTTTGCGTGGCAGGCGTGGGACAATGTGCACTGCCAAGGGGTCGGATGTACGCCCTGGCGTCCCTTGGTCTCCGCCTCTTTTGCGTGGCAGGGGTGGGACAATGTGCACTGCCAAGGGGTCGGATGTACGCCCTGGCGTCCCTTGGTCTCCGCCTCGTTTGCGTGGCAGGCGTGGGACAATGTGCACTGCCAAGGGGTCGGATGTACGCCCTGGCGTCCCTTGGTCTCCGCCTGGTTTGCGTGGCAGGCGTGGGACAATCTGCACTGCCAAGGGGTCGGATGTACGCCCTGGCGTCCCTTGGTCTCCGCCTCTTTTGCGTGGCAGGCGTGGGACAATGTGCACTGCCAAGGGGTCGGATGTACACCTTGGCGTCCCTTGGTCTCCGCCTCTTTTGCGTGGCAGGCGTGGTACAATGTGCATTGCCAAGGGGTCGGATGTACGCCCTGGCGTCCCTTGGTCTCCGCGTCTTTTGCGTGGCAGGCGTGGGACAATGTGCACTGCCAAGGGGTCGGATGTACGCCCTGGCGTCCCTTGGTCTCCGCGTCTTTTGCGTGGCAGGCGTGGGACAATGTGCATTGCCAAGGGGTCGGATGTACGCCCTGGCGTCCCTTGGTCTCCGCGTCTTTTGCGTGGCAGGCGTGGGACAATGTGCACTGCCAAGGGGTCGGATGTACGCCCTGGCGTCCCTTGGTCTCCGCCTGGTTTGCGTGGCAGGCGTGGGACAATCTGCACTGCCAAGGGGTCGGATGTACGCCCTGGCGTCCCTTGGTCTCCGCCTCATTGACGTGTGGGGTTTTGTTTTTAGTTCTGTATCCGCTCCTCCTCGTCCTCCTTCCCGTCCTCCCTCCTCCCTCCCTCCCTCCCTCACTCACTCACTCACACTCACTCACTCACTCACTCACTCACTCACTCACTCACTCACTCACTCACTCACTCACTCACTCACTCACTCACACACTCACTCACTCACTCACTCACTCACTCACACACTCACTCACTCACTCACTCACTCACTCACACACACACACACTCACTCACTCACTCACTCACTCACACTCACTCACTCACACTCACACTCACTCACTCACTCACTCGCTCGCTCGCTCGCTCACTCGCTCACTCGCTCACTCGCTCCCTCGCTCCCTCGCTCCCTCGCTCCCTCGCTCCCTCGCTCCCTCGCTCCCTCACCCACTCACTCACTTCACTTCACTTCACTTCGCTTCACTTCGCTTCACTTCGCTTCGCTTCACTTCACTTCACTTCACTTCACTTCACTCACTTCACTCACTCTCACATCCCTCACTCACACACACCACACTCGCATCACTCACTCACACTCTCACTCACTCACTGTACATGAACATACATACATACACACAAACTCACCCACCATCACCGCTCCATCACTCTTATACTTCCTCTTCCCTTCTTGCTCTTCTATGGTCAGTCTAAGTCTAAAGAAGTTGGTAACATGTGGGGTTATCCGGTCCTTTAATTTTATATTGTTTATCCAGTTTTCATCAGTTTTACGGGTCAAATGGCGCCAGTGGCGATACACTTTTGGATTCCACGTGGGTGGATCAAAATCATTGTCAGACTTGGCAGGCCCAGTGACTCATTGACCATCCTTTTTGGACCATCCCCTGCTGATTCCAGCTGCTTAACTCTGCTGTGGTGATCCAAAAGCCACAAAATAAATCAAAATGATAAACCGTATGAGTCATGATGTACCATTCTCTACCATTAAAAATCCTCCAGTCCGTCAGTTTGGGGGTTTCTGCCACTTTCTGCCCCGAATGATGTGCTCGCTGATGCCTTTCTTTCTTGCATCGATCCATTGTTTCATCATGCTTCATCATGTTTCATCGTGTTTCACCATGTTATTAGATTAGCTGCATCATGTTTTATCAGTTTTTGCAATTCGGCCCATGCTTTCAAGTAGCGGCTGGACCCCGCGGGCCAACCATGACAAACCATTTTGCAATGCGTTTGAGCGATGGCATGAAATTCATTCATGATATTCATGATGGTTGTTTGCTCATGTTTTGCATGGTGGTTGTTTGCTCATGTTTTGCTTTCTAGAGATTGACTTACATTTACATTGTTCGTGATTTTGTTTCTGTGGCCCCACCACACCTTATGTAAGCCACTGGAAGAGATGATTACGTCCCTTACTTAAGAGCCCTCGTCTTGGAGCCCTTGTTTTTTCACCTTGACTTTGGGATACTTTGGGTGTGTTTTTGGTCTTACCCATTTCCTTCAGATTCAACCCATTGAATGAACCACTTGTCAGATCTGGTTTTGCACTGCACATTCCTCACCCTCTTCCTGTCAATATTCAATATTCTATATTCAGTCATTTCAGTCCATAGTTTCAGATCCGTTCGTGTTTGCCTCTGGCAACCGAGGTCTTGGGGAAGCCGTGCAAAGTCGAAATGGACCCTCAACTCAGGTGACGTGTCTCAGTTTGCGCGGGGTGAGCAGGCCCGAAGGTGCTTAGAATCCAAAAATCTGCGGATTTTTTGGAATCCTTCCTGTTTGCCGACATGGAATTCATACCCTCCAGCGATGTCCGTTGCAGCATTCTGCAGGGAATTGGGAATATTGAGGCAGGCGTCGTAACTAGACAGGTGTGACGCAATGTATAAGACTATAGTGTAGTGAAGTCCATGACTTCATTTGCAACTTGCATGTCATCCATTGTCTTTGATTGTGCCCTGATGTGACCGCCAAGCCCAATACACCCCAACTTGCCAAAACAGGTGAGACTCACGTAGCTATCCTCCTTAAGCAGGTCCTCCAATTTGGGCGATCCACACTTTTGATTTAGGAAACATCCCGCTCATATTGTGATCCGAAACAGTTTGTTCATTGTTATTTATGTTTGGTTATTGGGATAACTTCTAGCAAAGCATGGTGCTGATACGACATACAAACTTTTGATCAACTCGCTGACACCCATGTTCGTGGCCTTGTGTCAAAGATATTGCGAGCAAACCAGTGCATGGTATGACTTTGCTTGGGCCAAAGTCCTTGTATGATGCGCTGTTGGTGGATCAGAATGCCACGTTGGATGAGATCAAGCTGGCGTTCAAAAAGCGGGCGCTGCAGGTTCATCCAGACAAAGGTGGCAGCAAGGAGGCCTTCCATTTGGTCTACCAGGCACTTGAGACCTTGGCTGACCCAGAAGCTCGCAAGATTTATGACCACAGTCTCTCCATCAGGAAGTCCCGAAACATGCAACAGCAACGACCTGGGGACGTCCGGGGAAAGAAGACGACCGTGAGGAAACATTGCCACTCTACTGCGAAGGAAGCACAATCAAAAAGGCGCGCTCCAAACCCCAAATGCAAGCCGAGGCCTAGGGGGAACACAGGAAGTGAACCATCACCTCGGCCACCACAGTCCAAGCAAACCAAGCTCTTGATCAAGATCCGTGATCTCTTGAAACAGTTGCCTCGAGACGTGCGGAACGACGCGATCAGCAACGATTTCTCTCAGAAGCAGCGGCTGATCCTGGAGAAATGGATGGTGGATTCCTCATCACAGGCCCATGGCGCTGCCGAAGCAGCACCGTTGACATCAGCTGATCTGAATAGTGGTGCCACCTCAACTGATCAGCGCAGCGTGAAGGATACGATCCGAGATGTAAGAGGTGTGACACTTGGTGACGGCTGTAGTTCTTTGGCCGTCCAACCATTCGAAGTGTTTGAGCCAATGCGATTTGCAATACCAGGAGGTGCGGGGATCCGGAGCATGCCCTTTGTGCCAGCAACTGCAAGGAAAAGATCCAGGAACAAATCCAAAACGGATAACAATGATAAGCAACGAAAAGTGTCAAGTTCTGGCTGCATATGGAAAGTAAATGACCACTACAGGGCCGGCATTAAGTTTGATGCGCTTGAACTTCACACAGGACAGTGCGATTTACAGACTGCTTTGGAATATTTGGTGATCCTAACCTCTGTCAAGCAAAAGGTGCAGGATGGCAATCGCCTGCCTACCCACCTTGAGGAACGCTTGCATGCAGCGCTTGTAGCTTCGGCAAAGGAGCATGGCAGAAATTTTCAGGACCTGCAAGTTCGTTATGCTGTCAATCAAAGAGCCAGTGTCTTCATTGGTCAGCAGCTGATGCTGAAATCCCCATGCGTGCGAAGTGTTGAAACCTTGAAGAAAATCCGTGTTTTCCTGGATCCTTTTCGTGCATACGCACGAAGAAACTTGAAAGGAGCTAAGATGTTTTGGCAGTATAGCCCAGCCCATCTCGAATATGCATGGGAACGATTTCAAGAGGCGGTGGCTAAAGCATGGGAAATTGCAGGGGCAGACAGCACAAAATTTATGACGAAGGTCCGTGCTCGCTATGAAGCAAGCGCAACCTCACGCCAAAGGAATCTGCAATCCTGGGAAAGGCAGCATATGGCCAAGGAGGACAAGAACAAACACAGGCCAAGGAGTTTGCAAGACCGCGGCACCAAGCGTTTGGAGGGTCGGGAACGGCGGCATATGGCAAGGCATGACAAGAGCAAGCTCCATCCCCTCCACACAGGTGGTCCAAAAGTTTCTGGCCGGAAATGCGCTACAGAGGGCATTTTGAGGCATAAAATGTCGACCTTAAAGAAATTTCTTGCAAGATGGGAACGTCTGCTCAAAATCCAGGCGCGCTTTGCGGACAAAGAGTATCGCAAAGCTTTGCGACTGCGCAAATTGCAGCAGAAAAAAGACACTGAGAAGCGAAGGCGGCAGGAAGTGCTCAACCAAAAGCAGGTCCGCGAGGAAGAACGCTTGAGAAGAGAAAGCCTTCGAAAGCGGATGAAATCCAGTGACTTCATGGACAACATTCCATGGATTTGAATAGACCTCGCCTGGTGCCAAAGAGCAAAGGGTCAAAATCCGTGGGCTGAACTGTGTTGGACTATGTTGAACTTGATGGGCGCGCTGCCTTCTAACATACATCCCTTGTATGACGCCCTCACCGATCTGATTTCCTGATTGGCGCCAATTGAGTGGGTTCTGGCCACTATTTTATATCCAGGATAGGTAGACCTAACAACTAAAACATGCTTTCTTTGCAGCATTCCATTTTTTTGCATAGGATGCATCAAATGCCAAAAGTGCCCCTTCCCCAACCAAGCTGCCCGGTTGATAGTTCTTCCTGTGCTGGATGGTGGATATTTAGGAGGGAGCAAGGCGATACTGGTAGGATCCGGTAGGTTTTGTTCCCTTCCAGAGCAGTAAGTTCCAAGTTTTTTGATCTTGCATTTGGTGACGGTATCAGCTGTATCATTCACCTCCAAATGGTTCCACCACTCCAGGGAGTGTTTTGAAACTGCGGGATACTGTGACGCAATGTTCGCTAATCACGTATTTTGGTTGGATGCTGTCGGAGGTTTACTTGACATTCTTCTCACCTTGACTTTGGCCCTACCACATCCGCCAGCTTCACATCCCTTCACATCCTTTCACTATGTATGTTGTAAGATGTTGTAAGGGCGGCATTTCTTCATGATATTTTATCGTATAAATCATAAACTATAAACCGAAACCCCCGCCAGATGAAGAAATTAAATGAAATTACCACATTCCAAGCAAACCTTATGATCTGTTTTGGGGGAAACTGGATATGATTGGGATATTTGCACTATTTTGCACTAGGCATCCAGGCATCCCTTGATGCCTCAGTACTCAGTCCATGTCTTGCTTGGCCCAGCCGAGATCTCCCGAAGTTGCGGCGCATCAAATCCTCCAGGTGGACCCGTAACTGAAGTCCCCCAGGCCACTTGTCTCAATAATCTTTTGGGTGTGTTTTCAGAGCTTCCAATAGGTGGATCCAGGTGCTATATTCACATTGGAAGATGGGATTTCTCATTCCTGTTGTCAGCAATATTTCGATCATGGGCTCAGTTTTATGAAGCCGGAAAATGCCGCAAATGCATTGAAACGCCAGGCATATTCGATTGCAGCACCTGAATGCAAAGTATAGTATATAAGTAGGATATGACGCGTTGCCTTGCGTTGCATTGCGCTATATTGAACTTGACTGCATGATCTTGTAAATTGCTGCGCGTCACCACACAGCACAATATAGTGCACTACACCACATACAGCTGTACGTACATTGTACCCGCAAGCGTGTGTTTGATAGTCCTCAGTGTGTTTTCGCATGCACATGTATGCTCCAAAGGCCTCATGTTTATTTTACAGATTTTTACCCCCAGCGTCGAATCGTGCGAAGTCTGCAATCAATCGGCTTTACTCGCCAAAGAACTACTTGTTCGGCTTGTTCTTATCTCAAAGCGCGTGACATTGCTGAAGTAAGAAGACTCTGCACATGAGAGCCATGACTGGCGAATGACCATAGCCAACATTGTCTTGTCTTTCCAAGAAGCCTGGCTTTTGTGGTGGATACTTTTCAGCCCACACAGCATCAGGGGCTCGCAGTCCAGAAAACATCCTTAAGTCCTCAAGTAAATCACATCATTCAGCTGCAATTCAAATTGATGACAAAGAGATACAAAGAGAATCGCAAAGCTTTGCGACTGCGACAGTTGCAGCAGAGAAAGGAGAATGAAAAACAGAGGTGACTTGAAGTGCTGAACCAAAAGCGGATTGAGAAGAGAACTTGTTCGGAAACGGATGAAATCCAGTGACTTCATGGATGATATTCCGTGGGTTTGATCGGATCGAACAATGATGAGGGGGAAAAGGAAAGCGATCAAGTTTCATATTCCTTCATGCTCGGGGCACATCTTGCATCCATAATAATTATGACTTATGACTTTTAGCTTATAGCCATATATCACACACGTCCAGGCAAGAGGCTTTTTTGGCAACGATGTTAGCAACATGATCAGGTTCCTTTCAATTAGTTTTAAGTGGGCAAGTTTCGAACCTGGCCCAGCGTGTGTGTCAACACTTCGCGCCAACGTGTTTCTTTGACACAGACGCAGTGATTGTTGGATGCTGACCTTGGATCTCGGTGCTCTGGTTGTTTCTATATTTTATCGTTTTCAGCGGACAGACAAGGGAAACATATGGAAACATGTCATTTTAGTTGCACTTGCACTGTACCATGTGTTCCTGGTGTTTTCCACGCAGTGTTGATCTTTTGAACCTTTACCCTCGATGATGGTGAGCCTGCCTGGTCCCCTGACGCAGCAGATAGCTCCATCAACTCAGGTGCCTTCCAGTGGCCGGCGATGCAGAGCACGAGGACTGCCGATGTTGTCTTCTCAATCATCTGATTCACATTGATTTAATTTATTTTACAATTGTTGCCGTTTGGGGATTTGGTGATGGTGCGGATAGACACCATGATTCTCCACTTCGTTTGAGCTGAAGTCAGATACAGTGGGTGAATGTGGGTGGCTTCTGTTGGCTTATGCCTGCTGAATCTCAAGGTGTTCGATCAGCCAACTCTTCGCCATGTTGCGCTGCGTCCGGGTTTTGGGCATCTTTTCCCGCAGCCTTCGGGGACCATGGCTGCAGCCAGTGCGTTTGGGCCACAGCAGGGCGAATGGCAAGTGGCAGAGGCACAGGAAGCCGTCCTGGCTCCGGGAGAAGGAGATTCCTGTGGATCCAGCAGCGCTTGAAGCTGAAATCCGGGGGAAGTTGGAGACCGAACAGAAGCAGGTCTTGGATTTGGTGCTGGCTGGTCACAATGTCTTTCTGACTGGAAACTTTGTCTCTGCAGTATTTTCATTTTTCAGGTTCCCTCTACAAATGGACTGACCTCTTGCCAGGTGGACATAGGTGGACTTGGGATGTTGCCCAGAATTGAGCTATAGTACCTGCAGATGTCATGGGAGTAGTCGGACATACCCAAAAGGACATACCCAAAAAAAAACACAAACCCCCATGCCATGTGCAAAGTGAAACAAAAATACATAACTCCCGTGTCATCTGTCAAGTGACTGGAAAAAGATTGCATGACATAGACCTCTCCAATGTTATAGGCAAAGATTGCATGACATAGGACCTCTCCAATGTTGTAGGCAAAGATACGAGATGTGATTGTGTGAGTGTATATGATCCCCCGTGCCGTTTTCAATTTCCACCTTAGAAAGTGTTTGGCAGCCTAAACCCCGCCACATCCTTCATTTTGAGCCTTCCTCGGTGCCTGCCATTCCCACCTTGGAAGTCCCATCTTACGTGGTAAATTCATGTAAATTCCTCTTCCCAACACACCTCAACAACAAGAAGTTGTTGAGGTGCGCCTTGAACCGCCTCCAAACCCTTCCCACCCCACTCTGGGGAACCATGAAACACCCAAACGCCTTTTCATAATTCGTTTTGACCCATCCTTGGGAAGCATGAACACCCAAACCCCTACCCATGCTTCATTTTGAGGCTTCCCAAACCCTCCCCACCCTTGAGAACAATTCAAAGCAGTGTTTGACGTGGGAGGGGAGGAAAAGGGTTTGCAAATGTAATTTGTGTCATGTCATCTGTCACAAAGAGGAAAATGCCTGCAAGCACATAGCATAACTCCCATGTCATGTGTAGAAAAACAAATACAGTATCCTGGAAAGAGACCCCAAAGAGTATGTGTAGTTAGGATTCTAAAGGTGGAAAGGACCTAAAATCATAAGTGGCGGAAGGTAGCAGGACAAGAGCGACCCTAGTAGTGAAATATAAGAGATACCAGGTAAGATTCTGCAAGTTCCCTTTGTGAAGATCTCCGTAGAAGATTGTGTGCAAGATTTCCTTGACAGGTTCTCTGTAGAAGCTGCTGTGCAAGATCCCTGTGTAAGGCTTTCTGTACAAGATGTTTATATAGGAGATCTCCACGGGAGATCTTTGTAAGGGATCTCAAAGCAAGATCCCTGTTCTAGCTATCTAAAAAATGATCTCCGAGCAAGACCCCTACTCTCTTCACCAGGTATCTGCACAAGATCTCCATAAGAGGTGTCCTGGCGAGATCTCTGTACAAGATAATATCTAAAAGAGGTCTCTCTGTACAGATCTCTATAACAGGTCTCTTGGAAAGACTTCTGGACAAGATATCTATAAGAGATATCTTGGCAAGATCTCTGGAACAGATCTCTATGCAACGTCTCTGTACAAGGTCTCCATAAGAGCTGTCCTGGCAAGATCCCTGTACAAGATCTCTAAAAGAGGTCTCTTGGCAAGATCTCTACCAGGGGCCTCTTGGCAAGATCTCTGCAACAGATCTCTATGCAATGTCTCTGTACAAGATCTCCTAAAGAGGTGTCCTGGCAAGATCTCTGTGAGGGATCTCAAAGTAAGAAGATCTCTGTTCAAGCTCTCTATAAACGATCTCTGAGCAAGATCGCTGCTCTCTTCACCAGGTCTCTATACAAGATCTATAAGAGGTCTCCTGGCAAGATCGCTGTAAGAGGTCATGGTCATGTCATCAGAGCCATTTGATGCGAGAATGTGCAGGAAAAATGCTGCGCCCCAGAAGTTTGCCGCAGGTTTTGTGCGAGCCTGAGCAGACAAAATGCATATGGACATGCCACAAGAGCCATTTTATGCGGAAATTTATAGGAAAAAAGGCGCGCCCCAGGACCGCGACTACAGGAAAAATGCCGCGCCTCAGGACCGCGGCACCCGTTTTGTGCGAGCCTGCGCAGTCGAAATGAACATGGACATGTCACAAGTCACAAGAGCATTTTTATGCGGCAATTTATAGGGAAAATGCCGCGCCCCAGGACTGCGACGCCCGTTCTGTGCGAGCCTGCCGCATGGATATCTCACAAGATCTAAGAGCCATTTTGCGCGGATTTTTTGAGGGAAAATACCGAACGCCCCGGATACTACCTTGATGAACAGGGGGTTTTAATCAACACTTACCGTTAGAACCCTTCAGTGTAGCCACACTTTTGGGGGAAACATAGCTAAATTATGCTAAATTCATGCATGAATCCCATGTCATGTGCACAAAAAAACAAGGTTAAATCGACCGCAAGGTCCCCTGCTATAATTTCATCGACAGAGGCAGTGGATTGGGATGCTGCAAGTCCATCCCACTGCGCTCGCAAGAGCCTAGTTGACATGGTTTGGCCCCGATCCCGATCCTTTCATTTTTGATGCATACACACACACACGGTCATTTAGGCATTATATAAATCACATTATCACATTATTTTTTTTCTCCTGGGTGAAACATGCCGAAACATGTTGAAACATCCTTCTTTGTGGCCAAAAAATGTTAAGTCTATTAAAGACACAACACAAAAACCTGATGACCTCTGACGATCCCGCTCAGGATTCCCCGGCACTGGCAAGAGTTTCCTTTTGCAAAAAATGGTGCAGCTCCTCTGCCAGCAGAGAGGCAAAGAGGCTGTTGGCGTTTGTGCTGCAACAGGTGTGGCCGGGATTCGCATCCGCGGCAGCACGGTGCATTCATTTCTGGGTTGTGCCAAGGCCGAAAATGACCAGGACTGCGGGAAAGGTTGGAGCATTATGATTGATCTTCAGAAACGCATCAAATACGAACACTATCCAAAGGTTGGCTCCCAAACGGCATTTTTTTGGGCATCACCTGACTGTTGCTTTGGGTGGGTCAAGTATCAACTCAAAACATAAGACCGCACAGCTCTTGCAAAGCTGGAGGACTGGGAGAGAGCCAAACGAAATCCACAAGTTCAAGAGCGCCTTAGCAAGTTGCAAGTCTTGCTGTTGGATGAGGTGAGCATGGTGTCCAGCGATTTCCTGGACCGCGCCAGCCGATTGGCACCTAGGTGCAGTTCAGCAATGATTTTATTGGCTGAGATGCAATGCCTTATTGATTTGGTGTCGGGTTGGTCCTTTCCGATGTTGGATGATCAACTGAATATTTTGTAAGGTTTGTTTTTCTTTTCCGATGAACCGGTGTCCATTTTCGTTTGCCTTCCTGGGCTGCAGGTGAGTCATGTGCGGAATGTTCACGACCAACCCTTTGGAGGAGTCCAGGTCATTTTGTCCGGGGACTTCTTGCAGCTACCTCCAGTGCGGGCAGATGCTATGGCCTTCGAGTCTTCTGTGTGGCAAGAGCTCAACTTGAAGCATATCACTTTGCAACAGAACTTCCGTACCGGGGTTGCTGAATGTTGCCGAACTCCTGTTTTTCGGGCTGGGAATATTATATAATAGGGGACACATGGGAACCACAAGCTTCTCTCATTTAAGCAAGCCTTGGGATCAGTTCCATGTTTCCATGTGTTTCACAAACGGGACATGGATTCACAGCCCATCATACGCCCAAACTCTTTCTAGGTCATGTGGATGCCAAGCTCCAAGATCTCTTGGCCCAGCTTCGTCACGGCAATCTTCCCATAGCTTCTCTGCGGGCCGCTGCCAGCACGGCGGGGCCAGAGGATGGTTCCACCCGTCCGACCATCGTCAGCACCAACGCGGAGGCAGCGGCGGAAAACCAGCGCAGGTTGGAAGCGCTGCCGGGCCAAATGCACACCTTCAAGGCGCAAAACTGGTTTGAAACATCCAGTTCCAGTAGCTCGGACCTCATGGATTGTCAAGGAACCTTATGGAATAAGAGCATGGCAAAGCTTGTGCTAAGCTTCTAGAAAATATTAGCATTATTATCAAAGGACGTTGGGAAGCCATCTCCCGAGTTACGGACAAATAGAATTGCAAAGCTACACATGACACAACAGTACAGCACATAGCAGCACATAGCAGCACATCGCACAACAGTACATCACACAACAGTACATCACAGAACATCACGTAACAATACAGGACACACAACAATACATCACACAACAATACATCACAGAGCAATACGTCACATAACAATACATCACGCAACAATACATCACATAACAATACATGACAGAAAATCAAATAACGATACACAACACACAACAATACATCATATCACAATACATCACATATCGGTACCGGGAAATACATCACATCACACTACAACACGTAGCAATACATCACATCACAATACATTGCATCAATAAATCAATAACAATACATCACACAACAATACATCACATAACAATACATCACATAACAATACATCACACAACAATACTTAGGGAAGTGGTGACTTAGGGAAGTTGTGACTTAGGGAAGTGGTGACTAAGGGACGTGGTGACTTAGGGAAGTGGTGACTGAGGGAAGTGGTGACAAAGAAGTGGTGACTTGGAGAGTTCTCATGTTCTGTTGCCATGTGCGTAGATACATGCGGGTTTGCCACGTGACGCTGCAAAACGCATTGTAATGGCTGCAGGCATGTTGCATGGGACTTGTTTTGGGGAGGAAGCCGGCGTTCGGGTGCAGTGGCTGCAGCCGGCGATGAAGGGCAGCTCGTGTCTGAGGTGGGTTCAGTCCGTTCGTTTTTGTGTGTGATTGGATCCTCCGGGGTGTTCTGAAACGTGCGGTTGTTCATGTGTGCGTAGTTATTTTTGGGTGTTTTGGAATCTGTGGTTGCAGATCGCAGTGTGATGGCTGCATGATTGTTGTCATGTTCTATTGCCATGTGCGTAGATACATTCGGGTTTGCCACGTGATGCTGCAAAACGCATTGTAATGGCTTCGTCATGGTTTCTTGCTTCTGCGGCTGCTTGCGTAAGACTTTTGTGTTTTGCAACAGGGAGTCGTGAATAGTACTGGAGTGGCTGCATCAAGGTTGCGATAGTGATTTGTCAGTAGATTTTCTCAATTTTGGCGCTGGTGATTTTCCTTTTAGAATTCCATTTAAAAAAATTCTCCAAACTCAAACTTGTTCTTTTTCCCGAATGCGTAGCAAGGGTTCCCGTTTCACTCTGGGGGTCTGGGGGTTGAGGGTGTGTTCGCTCGACGTTGCGTTCGCGAGCGCAACCGTCCGCAACCGTCCGCAACCGTTCGCGCGAACTCCGTATGGCCGTGCCTATGGGAAGTTTTGCAGAGGTGGTTCTTTTTGGAGGTTTCAGACGTCTGGTTGCTTCGTTTCGCGTGGCAGGCGTGGCACTTCGTGACATTTAGACGTGTTCTGCAACGTGTCGAAAGTCGTTTCGCGTGGCAGGCGCAATACTTTTGCGACGTTTTCAGAAGATGTGTTGCAGTTTTCGTGGCAGGCGCAGCACTTTGGGCGTGTCCATCGCCATTTTTCGTGGCAGGCGCAGCACTTTAGACGTGTCCTTTTGCGTGTTTTTTGTAAATCGCATTGGCAGGGCTGCGTCAAGTGGTGACAAGGTGCAAATTCCGTGGCAGGCGTGGCATTTTGTGACATGTGCTGAAAATTGATGGAAGCCTCGCACGAAACATCGATTTTGAGGTTACAAATTTTCAGGTTCTAAGGAAAACTCGTAGGAAAACGTCGATTTTGGAGCTGCAAAGTATGAAAATTGGAGGAAGTCTCGCACGAAATGGTCGTTTTGGTGCTCCCACCTGTCTCTTCTCGCGTGTCTGGTTTTCCCGTGGCCTCGCCGTGTCTATGGGGGAAGCTGCAAAACTTGTCTTTTTGTCGTGTTGCCAACTGTGAAAATTGCCGGAAGTCTCGCACAAAATGCGGGTTTTTCTGCATCCACGTGTCTTGTGTCGAGTCGCTGGTTTTCCTGTGGCGTCGCCGTGTCTATGGGGGAAGCTGGAAAAACTCTCCGATTCGAATGTGTCCAAGCAGGTTGTCATGTCGTTTTGCGTGGCAGGCGTGGCACTTTGTGACATTCCAACCTGTTTGATAACGTGTCGAAAAGATCAAAATAGGAGGAAGTCTCGCACGAAATCCTCGTTTTTTCTGTTTCCTGCGGCGTCGCCGCCACACTCCACACTCTACACACGACACTCTACACTTTCCACTCCAGACTCCACACTCTACACTTCACGCTCCACACTCCACACTTTACACTCCACACTCCACACTTTACACTCCTCACTCCACACTTTACACTCCTCACTCCACACCCCACACTTTACACTCCTCACTCCACACTCCACACTTCACACTCCACACTTTCCACTCAACACTCCACACTCCAGACTTTACACTCCACACTCCACACTTTACACTCCTCACCCCACACTTTACACTCCTCACTCCACACTTTACACTCCACACTTTACACTCCACACTCCACACTCTACACACCATACTCTACACTCCACACTTCACACTCTACACTCCACACTCTACACTTTACACTCCATACTCCACACTCCACACTTTACACTCCACACTCCACACTTTACACTCCACACTTTACACTCCACACTCCACACTTTACACTCCACACTTTACACTCCACACTTTACACTCCTCACTCCACACTTTACACTCCTCTCTCCACACTTTACACTCCACACTTCACACTCCACACTTTCCACTCAACACTCGACACTCCACACTTTACACTCCACACTTTACACTCCTCACTCCACACTTTACACTCCACACTTTAACACTCCACACTCCACACTCTACACTTTACACTCTACACTATACACTCTACACTCCACACTTTACACTTTACACTCCACGATTTCCACTTTACACTCCTCACTCCACACTTTACACTCCACACTTTACACTCCACACTCCACACTCTACACATTACACTCCACACTCCACACTTTACACTCCACACTCTACACACCACACTCTACACTTTCCACTCCTCACTCCACACTTTACACTCCTCACTTCACACTCCTCACTTTACACTCCACACTCCACACTTTGCACTTTACACTCCTCACTCCACACTCTACACTCCACACTTCACACTCTACACTCCACACTCTACACTTTACACTCCATACTCCACACTCCACACTTTACATTCCACACTCCACACTCTACACACTCTACACTCCCCACTCCACACTTGACATTCCACACTCCACACTCTACACTTTCCTCTCCACACTGCAGACTCACTCCACACTTTACACTCCACACTTTACACTCCACACTCCACACTCTACACTTTACACTCCACACTCTACACACCGCACTCTACACTTTCCACTCCACACTCCACACTTTACACTCCTCACTCCACACTTTACACTCGTCACTTTACACTTTACACTCCACACTCTACACTTTACACTCTACACTATACACTCTACACTCCACACTCCACACTCTACACTTTACACTCTACACTCCACACTTTACATTTTACACTTCACACTCCACACTCTACACACCACACTCTACACTTTCCACTCCACATTTCACACTCCACACTACACTTCACACTCCACACTCCACACTTTACACTTTCCTCTCCACACTGCAGACTGGTAACAAGGGAAACATGTACAGACTGTTCAAATAAACTATTGCAGAAAGGTATTGTGCCTCACTGCATAACCATGTGTTTTGACATCTGTACCATTAACACGTGTGAGCATTCGGGTTCGTGGGCTTCATCTTGTTTCGCTTTGGCGCCGAGATCCAGTTTTCGAGCTGCAATTTCTGGTGCCATTGCGCGTAGTTCTATGGTGTTTTTGACTGCGCTGTTGCAAATCGCATTGTAATGGGTGCATCAAGGTTCCCCGCTGCAGCTGCCTGCGTGATACCATTGTATTTTGCAGCTGAAAACCATGAATCGTAAGCATTGCAGTAATTAGTACTGTTTTTGGGAACCCGGTTCTTCCAAAGGACGCAGGAAACTAGGTCTTTCAAGTAAGACCCTGTTTTACTTCTAGAGCCTGTTTTATTCATACCCAGTTTTTGAGGGTCGCTTATCCCAGCCCATGGACCACACAATCTACAGCAGCTTGCAACCATGTCTATTTGAACTATAGTACTATGGCTTCCAAGGGACAAAAAGAATGGCACGTCCAAGCAAAGAACACACTTACTTGACTCAAAGCATATGTTTTATTCCATGGCCATTTTATGGCATTGTCATGCCATGGTTGGCTTGCTTTTTTCCCCTGCTAGCTCGAGCAAAACCTGCACTATTCATACCTCACACATTGGAAAAGTGAAACTGGTAAAACCCACAGCCGGCGAAAAGATAAATCCATGTCAAGTCTCTAAAGCAAAATTCTCGGTGAGTTCTGGGGATCCTTTAACTTGCTTGCTGCTATAGGAGCTGTTTCCTTTCCTTTCTCGGGAATATTACTAGCAGGGGCCATTTCGGCTCCAATTAGGAACACTTAAAAAGTTAAACCGCTGGCTGAAAAGGAATGAACATGAACCTGAGTCCACGGAGGGTCTGAATCAATTCAAATGCACAACATGCACATCAATTTGATTGCACATTCACAGGTGAAAACATGGAATCCCACTCCAGAATGCCCAAACCAGATTTATCCACATGTGGAAGTTTTTCACAGCCTTTTCACGAGTTTTTCACGGCCTTTTCACGAGTTTTTCACGGTCTTTTCACATTTTTGGGTGTTGCGTTGTTCGTGTATTTTTGCGACAGTTTCAGCGGAAACCATGAAGACATGATTTTAAGACCACCAACTACAATTTCAGATCAAGCAAATATCGCACAGGCACACTTACAGCGGCCACCCTTCAAATCGGTGGTACACTGACAAGTAGAAGGCAACATTTCCTTTTACTCGTACCTCATCAGAGGTAATGTTAAAGGCCGGGGATCAATATGAGAATCATTGCACTTCATTTTGTTACACAATCATGATGTTGATGGGAGGTCTGGGCTATCATTTCAGCCACAATTTGATGATTTGTTTAGTTTGTTGTTTTTTAGTTCGTTTCATTTTGCTAATCCAGCTGAAGTGCGGTTTCAAAAACTTAGATGGGTGAGGTCTGGAAGGGTTTTTGTCCAAGCATGTGATGATGTTCCTAAAATACCACTTACATATTTCATTATATCTCGAGCCCATGATCTCTATACAGTATTTTTTCAGCATGCTGCAGCATGCGGTATTCATACGGATGTTCATGATTGTTGATCAGCCTTTAGATGTTTGATCAGGACATGGCCATACTTGATCCCGAGTCGCAGGGCCTAGTTTTACTTTAAAAGTAAAACTAGGTCGAGCACCTAGTTTAACTAGGCCTTTCGAGAAGGCCTAGTTTAACTAGGTCGTGGAAGATGAGGGGAACTTTGTAGTACAAAATAGTGCTGGGAAGATCTGGGAAGTGTTTTTTGGGAATACCTTGGCCTCATTGGTAAAATATTGTTTCTCGCTCTAGCTTGTAATGTGCTGCAGGTGCCATTTGATGTCAAGATGTTGCGGTGTGCTCGGATGAGATGAAAGTAGTTGAGAAGAACTTAGATGACATCTGAGAAGAAAGGAGATGAGATGAGAAGAGCTCAAACGAGGTGAGATTACGTGAGAAGAGATGAGATGAGATGAGTTGAGGTGAAGTGTGAAGTGAACAGTGTCAAGCGCGGAAAATGAAGAATGCAGCGTGAGGGGTGAAGTGCGATCTTTGGAACACAAAACGTTGCTTTGCATTGCATTGCACCGTGGTCGCGCGCCCCTTGGACAACAACACTACTACAGCTTCGCACAAAGCACGCACACCCGGGCCGCGCTGGCGCACGGCGCATGCAAGTTCTGAAGATGAAAAAGGTCTGATACTAAAACCTTGAGGCAACTTCCGCCGCACCTCGTGCGGGTACTACTGGTAGTATTACTAGAACGTTATTCAATTCAATGCTGTTCATGGTTTCTATATGGCATGTCCTTATAGTTCCTCTGACCTACAGCTGGGTGCCCAACGATCTCCACGCAACCGTGCTCAGGCATCAAGAAGGCAATGGAAAATCTTTGCACCGAGAAAGTCCTGCAGTTGAAGGTGGGTGCCCTGGTGATGCTATTGGTCAACAAGCGCCAGCCAAGTAAGTGCCGAAACCATACAGCAGAATCCATGCCATTCAGCTTGCCCAACCTGCATGACATGATGGTTTTGCCCAATGGCTACGGCGACACGCCTTTGGTGAATGGAAGTGTTGGGGTGGTGGTGGGATTTGAGAAGTGGGAGGAGGATGGCGTCGACTATCCAGTGGTGGAATTTGCTCAGAAAGAGCGGGTGCACATCACCCCACACACTCAAAGCGGAGAATTGGGACATCTAGGCAAGTACGCAGCTTGCTCAATGCATATAAACAGAGTTTTGGAAGTTTTTGTATTTTTTTTGCGATACTTGATTAGTTTACACATCCCAAGTTTTTCCATTTATGAGTTTTGTTGTTCATGGATTTCAATCAAGCTGTTGTTCCATGAGGAGAGGAGGCAGGTGCCCTTGAAGTTGGCATGGGCGTTGACCGTGCACAAGACTCAGGGTTTAACTTTGCAGGCAGCCGACCTGAAATTGAACAAGATCTTTGAACCTTGACCCAACAAGTTTTTCTCAAAATGATTCAAATGGGGGATGCTCCGAAAATGATGACAAAATGTGCTGAACACCTCGCCACGACTTACAATGACCATGATTAAACCATAGGATTTGGGCATTCGAATTTTGAAACAACATGAGACAACCCCAAATCTCTGCTGCGGGGGAAGTTGAAGGCAATATGTATTTGAGGCTTCCAAACCTCATGGTGTGTGTTGGTACGTGTTTGTACCGTACGTATACTGTAGGTTTCTGTTTCCAAGTGTTTTCGCGAGAGATCCTGCTTTGGTGTATATGGCCATACAACCAACTCAAATCAGATACAACCATGCACTTGAAATAAAATAACCAATTTAGCATTATTGAATCCATTTCAACCCCTTGATCACTTTATGACTCGCATCCTTGAGGAGCCAGCCCAGCTTTATGTGGCGTTGTCGCGTTTCCGTAGCTTGGAGTCCGTCAGCATCAGTGGCTTACCCTCACGGCTGCCTCGCATCTCACCGACCATGCAGCGTGCCGTGAAGTTCCACGAAAGTATTGGAGGGGCTGCTGAAGGTCCTGTGCAGTGACCGGTGAAGTTACGAAGAAGTCAGATGAAGTTAGGCTGTTTATGGCTGTTTCATTCATGAATGTCCTTGATTCAAAATGATTGAAGCAGAGGGCCAAAGATGCCACCAGTGATAGCTAGGGTGATAGGTAGAAGTAGGGGATGAAGGACAACGTAGGCATGTCTGTATTTTCTAGCTCCTGACAGAACTTGGGGTCGTCGTGGGAGCTTTGTTGCCACAGATGTAGGTCGTCACGCGACAGAAAGGAAAAATGCACTCCGATTTTTCTGCCCGCGTGCGGGATTCTGTAGATTGGGGTGAGTGCCCTCGCAGCCATGTGATCCATGTGCAGGCGGTTGCATGTCTGGTTTTTTGATGCTAAACTTTGGGGTGTAGCGTTGTCGCTGCTGGGATCTGCTGGGCTGACATTCCCAAGCAGTTAGTCAGTGTGGCAATGTGAATGCTGTTGGATAAGTCTTTACTGGGCTTGTCAAATCATCTCAAGCCAAACCTTCCCAGCTCCTGTGCTTTTGCCACAGGAATATGCGAGGTTTGAAGGAGTTGCAGTTGCATGGAGTTGCTGAGGCAAAATGCGGGCAATTGGATAGTTGACAAACGAAAACATTTCTTTGAAACCCGCTAAAAAATAAGATACAATAAGACAAGACTAGTGATGGACGCAGAACGAATTGGAGTCCATTGGCCAAGCCCACTTGCAGTGCGGTAGCGCGATAGCATACTTCGGGTCTGGGACACTTTTTTGGTTAGTGAATTTTACGATCCATCAGTGTCAATGCATCTTTAGACATCACATGACCCAACGGCATGGACAACCAAAATATTGCATATAGATCACATTGTACTTGGATATAGTTGGAGGGAATATGGAGGGTCAGTTCCAGCTCCATGGGGCTTTAATGCTGGGGATCTTCATATTCTCTTTTTGAGGATCTGAAATGTATACCGACAATATCCCAGGATATCCGGGGTCAATATGAGTCAAGCCAGACGCCAAAGGTTTGGATGGAGTCTTAGACTTGTCTGATCCTGACCTTGGCAATGGCAGGCGGGGCTACCAAGATGGGGGATGGCTTTGTCGGCAACAAGGTTGATTAAACAATCAAGACAGACAAGCGGAACTTTCATGGATTTTCGGCCAGTGTTCGGAATTGAGGGGATTTGGCTACTGTATTTCAGTGCTTAGTACAGTATAGTTTGTGTTTATTTACTACTAATTATATTTAGCAATTGGCCCACTTGACTACCGCACTTGGGACGGCTGAAATGGCAACGATGAATGGATGCAGCGAAGGCTTTCTCCTTCAAACACATACAGTATTATGTGCTGGAGTGAAAGTCATACGTTTCAATGTTTTACATGCCATTGTGGTTCAGAATCCCCTCTAGCTACTGCATAGAGCATTGCCTACAGGTACTACATGATGATCATTGGAAATTTCAGGACCCTAAAATGGAGGTCGATGGAGGTACTGTACCAAATGAAGCCATCTTTTGGGATATATTCCCTTACATGGCCCTTACATAGCCCTTGCATAGCCCTTACATAAAGCTAGCTTCTGCTAGCTGAAGTCCCTCTTGCTTTAGCAAGGTATTGGGGGGGTGGAATCCCCAATTAACAACCCCCCTCCCCGCCGCGGGCTTGTGCGTGGGCTCAACCCCCCCGGGGACACCATCAGCAACATCAGCAGCATCGGTATCCTCTGAATCTTTACACTTCACAATCACAATCTACACTTGGCACTCCACACTCTTTACACTCCCCACTCTATACTTTGCACTCCACGCTCTGCACTCTAAACTTTACACTCTTCACACTCTACACCACACTCTACACTCCACACTTCACACTTTACACTCCACACTCCGCACTCTGCACTTTACACACGGCACGCTACACTTCACACTTTACACTCCACACTCTACACTTTACACTCTACATCACTGTACCCTCCACCCTTTGCACCTTGCAGTTCACTTTTTACACTTTACACTTGACACTCCACACTCTACACTTTACACTACACTGTACATCACTGTACCCTCCACCCTTTGCACCTTGCAGTTCACTTTTTACACTTTACACTTGACACTCCACACTCTACACTTTACACTCCACACTCTAAGCTTTAGAGTTTGCACTTTGCACCTTACACTCCACACTCTACATTTTACACTCTACACTTTACACTCCAAACTCTACACTCTACACATTACTGAGTGGCTGAGTGGCCGGGGTGGATGACTTAGCCTGGAACGCAAATTTTATCTTATTATATAGTTTGATGGAACTGTTCCACCTTTGTTGTGAGCCAGGAGAAAGTCTAGGATTGTGCCCACAAGATGTTAAACTAGCTGAAGCCCAAGTTTCCAAAACCTACGAAAATCAAATGGTTCTTGTGCTTTTTTTCGGGTTTCTCTAAGTGCTGGACGAGAAACACTGAAAAGAAGCATGTTGCCGCAGCGTACGCCAGCAGCACCTGGAGCTGCAAACTTGGGCTTCGTTTAGTGGAAGGAAGTAAGTTTGTCATCCACCCCGGCCACTCAGCCACTCTAAGAGTGGCTACCGCAGCCACTCAGCCACTCAGCCGCTCTGGTGGGAGTGACTGGACCAGCCACTCAGCCACTCAGTCACTCAGAGTGGCTGAGTGGCTGAGTGGCTGCGTCAGCCACTCTGCCAGAGTGGCTGAGTGGCTGCGGCAGCCACTCTGGCAGAGTGGCTGAGTGGCTGCTTCGATTTCGCGAGCCGTGTTGCACATCCACTCATCTACACTCCACACCCTACACTCTACACATGACAGTCTACACTACACTTTACACTTGACACTGCGCACTCTACATTTTACACTCCACTTTCTACACTTTACACTTCACGCATTACACTTTACCCCATGCACTCCACACTCTACACTCTATAAATACTTTACACTCCACGCTATACACTTTACACTCCACACTTGGCACTCCACACTCCACACTCTGCACTTTACACTTCACACTGTACATTGTACACTGTACGCTCCACTTTGCACACTCTACACTTCACACTTGACACTTGAGACTCCAGACTCTACACTTCACACTCCACACTCTACACTCTACACTTGACACTCCACACTCTACACTTGACACCCCATACCCCACACTCGACGCTCTACACTTTACAATCCACACTCTACACTTTACACTTCACACTGTACACAGTACGCTGTACACTGTACCCTCCACACTCTACACTTTACAATCCACACTCTATACTCTACACTTTACATTTTCACACTTTACACCTTACACTTCACTTTACACCCTCACAACTTTACACTTTTCACATTTTACACTGTATGGAACCTTGGCCTAGCTCCATTTTTATGTTGCGCCCGCACACTTACCCCTCGTCCTCTACTTCGGTTTCGCACTGCGTTACTTCTTCCCGCGCTTCCAAAGGTCCACTCCGATGCCGAACGTGGACCTTTGAATCTTCCCCAATCACTAGTGATCATGTTGGCTATCCTGAATTTCCTCATCCCCTTCGTGCAACTGTACATAATAATAATCATATGTTCTCATCCTCGTCCCATGCAACATACATCGCCTCAATAGGTAGGTTTGGATGTTCACCGTACCAACACTCCCAAGCTTTAGACCCGCTCGTCCACGTTGACGAAACAGCTGCGCTGTGCTCTTTGTGTTTTCATGCTCAGTTCCCTGCAAAGCTTGCTTTCGTCCCTACCCCTGGGCCTCAAGTATATAATAGCTCCAATTGAGGTTCTTGAAATGGCCATTGACGATGATACTATGTGAGGATCACATGTAAAACTCAAAGAGGTGGAATGCACGACTAGATCAGGTGGAATGCACGTGTCGCACTCTTTCGGCCCCGTTGACACCAGGATCACACACTTGACAATACTTCCAAATCCCTCGTTTGATTTGAGCGTGTTTGCGCAGCATATCCGCACAGTGCTGGTTTGTTAAGTACAGTGAGGTTAAGTTTAGTTCTTGACCCTTCCTTTGCATTTTTTTTCGTGGAACAGAGCGAGTCGTAGAAGCAGGCTCCACCAAACAGATTACCATTCCTCGACTTCATGCCCTTAGGCTGGCAAACAGACGTTGATCCATTGGAACATGTTCAAGGTTTTGTTCCGTGATGGTCCAACGTATTTTTGCATTTGGACAATTGTAATCCAATTGTTGTATAGTGACAATGGACCTACCACATCCATCGTTCAGAGCGAGCGATGGCCCAGATGACGTCCTTGTATGACGTGCTGCAGGTCGATCAAAGTGCTACATTGGAGGAGATCAAGTTGGCCTTCAAACGACGTGCGCTGCAGGTTCATCCAGACAAGGGTGGCAGCAAGGAATCCTTCCATTTGGTCTACCAGGCACTTGAGACCTTGGCGGACCCAGCTGCGCGCAAGAAGTACGACCAAGGCCTAGCTACAGGGAAGTCTGGAAACTTGGTGCAACCACAACCAGATGGCCAAACAGGGAGGAAGAAAACTTCAAAGAAACGTGGCCGCTCTGCAGCAAGCGAGGCACATCCAAAGCCAGAAAAGGCTGAACGTCCAAAACCAAAGGCTGCTCGAGGCCAAGCTAAGCCTGAATCAAAGGCGCCCCAAGCGCCCCAGTCCAAGCAAACCAAGCTGTTGATCAGAATCCGTGATCTCTTGAAACAGTTGCCTCGAGACGTGCGAAATGATGTGTTCACCAAGCAGTTCTCACAGCAGCAGCGGCTGATTCTGGAGAAATGGATGGTGGAAGGGTCATCAGCGACTCAAGGTTGCTCAGAGTCCCAGGTACAGACGGTCGACAAGGCTGATAAGACTGCAATGCGGCCAGAAGACCGCAAGACCTGTGTGGCGGCCTGCAAACTAGAGCCATCACATGTGCCAGATAGGAGTTGCAGTGCCTTTGCCGTGCCAGCCAGTGCCAGATCAAGTGTAAAAGAGGATGTACTCAGGACAAGGAGACGGAAGATATCTTCCAAAAAGCAGATCAGAGACAAGAAGAGCGAGTCCAACAAAAGGGTGCGGAGCATGTGTGGGGCCGTTTGCAAAGAGCCGGGCTATTCGGCCGTCGCTTGCTACAGGGCTCGAATTCGTTTTGATTCATTTGAGATGTATACTCAACGGTGCGACTTGCAAACAGCTCTTGAGTATTTGGTGATTTTGACATCTGTGAAACAAAAGATGCAAGAAATGACAAGAAGTTCAAGCACATGTGCTTCTTTTGAGGAACGCTTGCAAAAAGCCTTGTCTTTATCTACCAAAGGGCACAAGACCGAGCTCAACCTCCGCTTTGTGGTTCTTCAAGCCTCTGGATATTTGGTTGGATCTGGCTTTCTAATTCGGACCCCGAAGGTTCGCAGCGTGGAAGAACTTGGACAACTGCGCAGACTCCTGGAGCCTTTTCGCCAATATGCCACCTGCAAAGGCCGGCAAAATCCCTTCTGGCAGTATAGCCCAGTCCATATCCAAGATGCTTGGGAACGGTTTCAAACTGCAGTGGCTAAAGCCTGGGAAATTGCAGGGGTGGATAGCGCAGCTGTCCTTCAGAAAATACGGACTGTGAATGCAGCCAATGCTGAAGACCGCAACAGACACCTACAGGCCTGGGAGCGGCATGGCATGGGAATGCAGGACAAGAATAAGCACCGTCCAAAGCGTTTGCGAGACAAGAACAGCACTGGTCGCCTCGAATGCTCAGAGCGGAGGAAGATGGCCATGGAAGACAAGCACGAACATCGCCCAAAAAGACTCAGAGTACCTGTGCACCTTCGTGTTCCTGATGACATTGTGGCAAACAATTTGTTTACTTTAAAGAAGTTTCTTCTCCAATGGGATCATGTGCTGAAAAGACAGGAGCGTAAAGCTGCGGCCAAAAGGCGCCGTGAGACTTTAAAGAGACAAAAGAAATATCGAGAGGAACAACGCCGGCTGAAGGTCATGAACCAGAAGAAACACCAAGAAGAAGAACGGTTGAGAAGAGAGGCTCTTCGAAGGAGGATGAGGTCGGACCTCACCATGGATGACATTCTTGGACCTCATCGCGCTGCCGCGAATCCGCCGTGTGCGCAGGTGAAAATCAGCGTCAATATGCTTTAGTATGATTCATCCAAGGGAATGTGGACAGAGGCCTGCCTCTCAGGCTTGTTTTTCACCTTCACTTAGGTGAAACAGTGACACATACTCAATGATCCGAAGCAAATTCTGCAGGACTCCTGGTGATGATAAATTCATAATTCCCAGGAATGGCCCGGGTCAGTCTGATTGATTTTGCGATCCACTGTTGAGAGCAATGTGCCAGCACATACCGTGGGGGGTTCATTCACGTCCACTGGTGATTCCGGCTGAACGTGCTGGTTTCAAACATTTATTAAGTGACAATAGTGACAGACGATTCCCATGGCACAGGTGAGAAAACAGAGACATGAAGCCGGTTGCAAGACACGGTTGCCACTTGGCATAGATGGTGAAAGGGTGACAGCAAGACCGGAAAACGGGGCTGATAGCAGGTCGCACATGTTGGGATAGTGGGATAGCTGTTGGGACATATCCGGACTACTCAAGATAATGAAGACATATAAAGTGGTTATTTTTTGAGGCAGAATGTGTGGGAATCCTGGTCATGAATGATTTTGCTTGTGTGGGGCAGGATGATGTAGTGCTCTTGAACAGGGTTGTACAGGGTTGGAAAGTGTTGAAACTCAGCCATTCTCGCTTGAGGGATCTTGAGGGTCATTATGCTTGTGATTGCTGCTTACAGATGCTTGCAGCGCAATTTCTTGTGTCCATAGTCTATGAACGTTCCGAAGGACTTTTCTGCAGTATGTGGTTATGGTTGGCAGGCGGAGGAGGATACGCATGGATATGCATTGTCTATGAGTGATTCCTTGAATGGCTCAGATTGTATATTTGCGACATCTACGCAGCATCCTCTATTGTAGGCGTTAAGCACACACTTGCACGCATGTTATAATTAATGAAGCCATATTAAGCCTACTAGGTGCCATGTGTTGCGCAAATTAAAGTGTAATGAGCGCCACATGCATCCGAAACAGTTTGTCCATGAGAAAGTCAGAGCCTTTCCCATGCCATGAGCTCCTGGTTTGCACCTTTATGCCCTCAGCAGTTCCCTTGTCCAAGACCGCGAAGGCGAGAGGTTTAGCAGTGACTCGGCGCATGATCGGGAGAGCATTTTCTCACTAGACATATTCAAACTATTGCCGTTGTTTGTGTCAGGCATTTATAGGTTTCTAGAATGAATGTATATATATAATATACACATAATATTATATAATAGAACTCTGTTGATGTTTTACGGCACTCTTTGCAGCTAATGTCGCAACCAAATTAAAGGACCGGATAACCCCACATGTTACCAACTTCTTTAGACTTAGACTTATACATCCGACCCCTTGGCTGCTCACATTGTCCCACGCCTGCCACGCAAAAGAGGCGGAGACCAAGGGACGCCAGGGCGTACATCCGACCCCTTGGCTGCTCACATTGTCCCACGCCTGCCACGCAAACGAGGCGGAGACCAAGGGACGCCAGGGCGTACATCCGACCCCCCTTGGCTGCTCACATTGTCCCACGCCTGCCACGCAAAAGAGGCGGAGACCAAGGGACGCCAGGGCGTACATCCGACCCCTTGGCGGTGCATATTGTCCCAGGCCTGCCACGCAAACGAGGCGGAGACCAAGGGACGCCAGGGCGTACATCCGACCCCTTGGCTGCTCACATTGTCCCACGCCTGCCACGCAAACGAGGCGGAGACCAAGGGACGCCAGGGCGTACATCCGACCCCTTGGCTGCTCACATTGTCCCACGCCGGCCACGCAAACGAGGCGGAGACCAAGGGACGCCAGGGCGTACATCCGACCCCTTGGCTGCTCACATTGTCCCACGCCTGCCACGCAAACGAGGCGGAGGCCAAGGGACGCCAGGGCGTACATCCGACCCCTTGGCAGTGCACATTGTCCCACGCCGGCCACGCAAAAGAGGCGGAGACCAAGGGACGCCAGGGCGTACATCCGACCCCTTGGCGGTGCACATTGTCCCACGCCTGCCACGCAAACGAGGCGGAGACCAAGGGACGCCAGGGCGTACATCCGACCCCTTGGCAGTGCACATGGTCCCACGCCTGCCACGCAAAAGAGGCGGAGACCAAGGGACGCCAGGGCGTACATCCAACCCCTTGGCAGTGCACATGGTCCCACGCCTGCCACGCAAACGAGGCGGAGACCAAGGGACGCCAGGGCGTACATCCGACCCCTTGGCGGTGCACATTGTCCCACGCCTGCCACGCAAACGAGGCGGAGACCAAGGGACGCCAGGGCGCACATCCGACCCCTTGGCTGCTCACATTGTCCCACGCCTGCCACGCAAACGAGACGGAGACCAAGGGACGCCAGAGCGTACATCCGACCCCTTGGCTGCTCACATTGTCCCACGCCTGCCACGCAAACGAGGCGGAGACCAAGGGACGCCAGGGCGTACATCCGACCCCTTGGCAGTGCACATTGTCCCACGCCTGCCACGCAAAAGACGCGGAGAAGTGAGTGAGTGTCTGTGTGTGTGTGTGAGTGAGTGAGTGAGTGAGGGAGGGAGTGAGTGAGTGAGTGAGTGATGGAGTGAGTGAGTGAGTGAGTGAGTGAGTGAGAATGAGTGAGTGAGTGAGTGAGTGAGTGTGTGTGTGAGTGAGTGTGAGTGAGTGAGAGTGAGTGAGTGAGTGAGTGAGTGTGTGAGTGAGTGAGTGAGTGAGTGAGTGTGAGTGAGTGAGTGGGGGAGGGAGGGAGGAGGGAGGGAGGACGGGAAGGAGGACGAGGAGGAGCGGATACAGAACTAAAAACAAAAACCCCACACGTCAATGTGGGGAAATATATAATTTCCAATTATCCACTGTGAGCAGCAGGTCAATAAAGCTATTTGTGTAGACAGCTGACTTTGAAGTATCGGCAAGGCAGTGTTTTCTCGAGATGTTTGTTGACTGCTAGTGACTGGCACTGATGGCCAAGAAGTCTTTCTACGACATCCTGGAGGTTGACAAGAGTGCTACATTGGAGGAGATCAAGTTGGCCTTCAAACGACGTGCGCTGCAGGTTCATCCAGACAAGGGTGGCAGCAAGGAATCCTTCCATTTGGTCTATCAAGCACTTGAGACCTTGGCGGACCCAGCTGCACGCAAGAAGTACGACCAAGGCCCAGCTACAGGGAAGTCTGGAAACTTGGCGCAGCCACAGCCAGATGGCCAAACAGGGAGGAAGAAAACTTCAAAGAAACGTGGCCGCTCTGCAGCAAGCAAGGCGCAGCCGAAGCCAGAGAAGACTGAACGTCCAAAAGCAAAGGCTGCTAGAGGCCAAGCTGAACCTGAATCAGAGACACCCCAAGCACCCCAGTCCAAGCAGACCAAGCTGTTGATCAAGATCCGTGATCTCTTGAAACAGTTGCCTCGAGATGTGCGAAATGATGTGTTCACCAAGCAGTTCTCACAGCAGCAGCGGCTGATTCTGGAGAAATGGATGGTGGAAGGGTCATCAGCGACTCAAGGTTGCTCTTGCTCAGAGTCCCAGGTACACACACGGTCGACAAGACTGATAAGACTGCAATGCGGCCAGAAAACCGCAAGACCTGTGTGACAGTCAGAGGGTTGAACAGTACAGATGTGCCAAAGGATCTCAGTTGCACAACTCTTGCCGTGCCTGCAGCCACTAGATGGAAGCTTGCTGCAAAGCGCAAGGCAAGGGAGAAGAACGAGTCTAAGAAAAGGGTGCGACGCATTTGCGGTTCCGTGCACAGGGGTTCCAAGACTAATGCAGGAACTCTATGGTACAGTACTCGCATTAAGTTCGATGCCATGCACATTTACACTCGAGGCAGGTTAGATTTGCAAACAGCTTTGGAGTATTTGGTCATTTTGACATCCGTGAAGCAAAAGATGCAGGAGGTGGCAAACAAGGGCTCGACCTTTGAGGAACGCCTGCAAGAAGCTCTGGCTTCGTCTGCCAAAGGGCAAAGGGCAGACCTCGATCTTCGCTTTTCCGTTCTCCAGGCAGTTGGCTCTCTGATTGCGCCCAGCTTCGTTGTACACACACCAATGGTTCGCAGCGTTGAACACCTTGGAAAGCTTCGCAAGCTTTTGGAGCCTTTCCGCCAATATGCCCAGATCCCACACAGGCAATGCATTTTTTGGTTGTACAGCCCAGTCCATCTTCAAGATGCCTGGGGACGTTTGCAAGTTGCAGTTTCTGAAGCGTGGAAGATCGCAGGTGCAGATAGTACAAAGTACATTCAGAAACTCCGTGCTTGCTATGAGGCAGCCGCGAGCGCACGCCAAAGGCAATTGCAATTGTGGGAGAGGATGCACATGGCCATGCAGGACAGGAATCGGTATCGACCACGGCGAATGCGAGTTGGTGGCTCCCAAAAATCCACAAATCTGGTGACGCTGAAATTGTCAACTTTAAAGACGCTTCTTGCAAGGTGGGAGCGGGCGCTGCACCGTCAACGGAAAAAACATCAAGAAAAGAGACGGCGCTTGGAAAATTTGAAACGAAAACGACTGCGAGAGGAACAAATAAGGAGAGAAGCCTTTCGCAAACGGAAAAGACCCAGTGAGTCCTTCATGGACGACATCCCGTGGATTTGAATGCTTTGCTTGTCACAGCGGCGAGCTGTGCGAGCATCACCCAAACCGATGCAGAGTGCCTCTGCACCTGCCCATGCAGGCGCATCCCTGGTGACATGTTGGCAAGCAATCGAAGTTTCCCCACCAGTGGGATCGTTAGTCTGAGTAAAGAATGGTTGTAGTATGTTGTAGTAACAGTTGCAGAATGTTGCAGAGACAAGGCGCTGGTGCTGATCGGAGGTGTTTCTTCGAAGGACAACTCATTCAAATTACTTATCACTGCCGCCCTGGTCCCAGCTGCCTTTACACTTGGGATAACTTTGGGATGCTTTTGGGTTGGATGAAACTGTGCCAAGCAATGCACACTAGTTATTTGTTCTTTCATCCGCTTCAGGTTGTGGTTGCACGAGGATGCTCCAGAATCCATCAGCGCAATCATCATCAAATTCTCAGCTCAGCGCTCAGAACAACGAAGTTGCTTTGAACCCCTCGCTTGATGTAGAATCCTAGTTCAGGGAAAAACTACAGGAACCCCATGTACTTGATTAGAAACACAATGCCTTCCCGCACATTTCCCCATAAACCCCAAACAAAACCATTGATAGACGACTCAACAGGCAGCAAGATTGGCTGGAAATCAGCTGCCATGCCGTTATTTCGAAAAAGGTATGAGTATGAGTATGAGTGAAAAATATTGCATGATAGAAAAATGATAGAAACAAATTATAGAAACGAGAAACTAACTATATTTGAATTACACTTGAATTATGGGTGCATACATGTGCATACTGAAACTAGCATCGGCAATGTGCTGGAAACTGTAAACCATCACCGCATATACCATAAACGGGATGTTGCAAAGATGCATAGAGAACCATCTCCAATTATATAGAGGTCTATTGAGACAAATCTCTGGTTCTTGACTTTTCACGAAAGTGAAGACTTTTTCAAACTTGAATATCTCCCGACTGGGCTTGTAGCACCATGCCAGAAGCTAGCCACTACCTGAAGCTCTGAAGTTTCAGGACAGCGGTTGAGGGGCAGGGATTTGTCGGTTGCACCCAAGGGGACCTAGGTTTTTGCACAGGTCACCCAGGTGCCATTCAGAAGCAATTTTGCACCTCAGACTGTAGCACCTGTTTTGCAAGAGCGAAATCCAACGAACATAGTTTCCATGGTGAGTTCAAATCAATCCATCCACCTTTGTGACGCTTTGGAGGCTGGGCATTTGCTCAAAAGGCTGTTGGATGATGTGAAGTTCCGCCGGCCGGATTGCGACTGTTTGCAGTCATGGATTTGCGCATTTCCACATTTGCACAATTGTATTACTATATTTGAATTACACTTGAATTATGGGTGCATACATGTGCATACTGAAACTAGCATCGGCAATGTGCTGGAAACTGTAAACCATCACCGCATATGCCATAAACGGGATGTTGCAAAGATGCATAGAGAACCATCTCCAATTATATAGAGGTCTATTGAGACAAATCTCTGGTTCTTGACTTTTCACGAAAGTGAAGACTTTTTCAAACTTGAATATCTCCCGACTGGGCTTGTAGCACCATGCCAGAAGCTAGCCACTACCTGAAGCTCTGAAGTTTCAGGACAGCGGTTGAGGGGCAGGGATTTGTCGGTTGCACCTAAGGGGACCTAGGTTTTTGCACAGGTCACCCAGGTGCCATTCAGAAGCAATTTTGCACCTCAGACTGTAGCACCTGTTTTGCAAGAGCGAAATCCAACGAACATAGTTTCCATGGTGAGTTCAAATCAATCCATCCACCTTTGTGACGCTTTGGAGGAGGCTGGGCATTTGCTCAAAAGGCTGTTGGATGATGTGAAGTTCCGCCGGCCGGATTGCGACTGTTTGCAGTCATGGATTTGCGCATTTCCACATTTGCACAATTGTTACATTGTTGACGAGAATCCGTGAAACTTGAGAAGTTCCGAACATCCACAGAGAATGCTTATGTCGAACTTTTGCAACTTGACAATTCGGCATAGCTTCAAATCGCTTCCTGTTTTGTTCGAACTCAAGCGCCCGATTCTCTGAAGCGGGCCCGATTCTCTCACAAGCCTCCTTTCCACCCGTTGTGATGTGCTGCGGGAAGCGCCTTCGTTGTTTCATTGCCCTTTTCGTTTTGGCCCAGAGTGCCGTGCAAGCGGCTCGTCCAGGGCTGCAGCCTTCGGCCCTGACGACACAGACTGGGGGCCGAAAGTGCAAGGATATCAAAAAGACCGCAACTTCTCAGGACCTGAGAACGTATGGAATAATTACAGATGAAGAGAGGTGGTATTGTGATTACAGTTTGTATCCATCCAACGGCTGCAGAGAAGTTGACCACTTCTCCACAGCCGTTGGATGGATACAAACTGTAAGTCAAAGATCGCTACGGAGACACGGTGCGTTCCTTTCGCCTTGCAGCCACCATGAGGAGCTGCGAATGTCTCCGTGGCGAGGAGAAATCCCGGGAGCGCTTGAGGGTGGTGGAGGCGGCAGCCGTGCGATTCCGCGCGGCCGTCGTGGAGAAGACGTTGGGCTTCGTCCAGAAGTTTTACAACGATCCGGAGGACTTCGTCCAGGAGGATTTGAATGTGACCCCGCAGGTCTGCCAGGAGGTCCTCACTGACTGGCACCTTGAACAATCTCGGCACCTCTCAATGCACTCTCGGAGCAGCACAAAGGTACAGTACCAAGGGAATGGGCCACTTAGACCCCTTGGTCCTGTGACCAGGGGGTCTAAGTGGCCCATTCCCTTGGTCCCTTTGTGCTCCGAGAGCGCATTGGCTTCATGGAAGAGGTCTTGGCTTTGAGGGGTGCCGAGACTGTCGAAGGTGCCCGCCAGGATCTCCTGGCAGACCTCCGGGGTCACCTTAAAATCATTCTGGACGAAGTCCTCTGCACTCTGCACCATGTTTGCCAGGATGAGTGCGAAGAGATCGTTGACGAGACCCTGAAGAACATCAAGAGAATGACCCATGATATCGGGCGGCGGGCAGTGCCTTCTGCAGAGACCTGCGCCGACAGAGTCGTACGCAAAGTGGAGGTGGAGATTCTAGGCTGTTGTGGTCGCTCATGTGCAGCTCCTGCCGTCATGACCAAGTACGAAAAGGACGAATGGCTGCAGGGAACACGTGTAACTCTGTCCTGAGTCGCAGGCAGGTCCAATCGGTCTCCTAGTTTGACACCAAAGTCAAGAAAGGCGATGTTGCAGGATCGTACCTGGGGCAGGACCCCCGGCTTCTTTGGGCAGAACCATGCCTTGAAAAGTTCGAGAAAGAGGTGAAGGGCTTGGACACAATGCCCAAAGAGGGTGACTTTGTCAGCTCCGACTTCTTGGAAAAACAGCCCGATGTCTGGCGGACATCAGGGTGTTTTTCCAAGAAGTCGGAGCTGACAAAGTCACCCTCTTTGGGATCTTCCGGAAATGTCGAGCTCTTTCACCGAGCTCGGGGTCACCACCTGCAACAGCTCCGTGGAAAAGTTGAAAAACAAAGACCACTGCCCGGATCAAATGTGGCAAAATATGCTGAAAGCATGTGTGCGGGCAGAAAAATGGCAAATCTCAGACAAACTTGGTGCCAATGAGGACGACATAGACATCATAGACGGCCCCCCAGAGTGCCAGATCATTATGACCGACCCTGATGTCAACAAACCCAAAGAAGTTGCCACACCTGATGAGTGCCTCGAGGCGGATTTTGGCACAGTGGGAAATTTCAAGTGGAGGCTCTTCACGTACGACAACAGGGATCCAAAGGGCGAGCTCATCCTTGACAAACCCATTTTGTGCTTCTATGAGGAAGCCCCGTGCCCAGATACGGATGACTTCAAAAGGAAGAAATTGAATGAGTTCGAACACTTAAGCGGCTTCGCAGACTACATCTACTGGAGTGAGGAAACCCGAGTAGCAAAGATCGTAGAAGGTATAGTAGAAGTCTGCCGGAAGGCTCTTGACCCCAGCTCTTGACCCCAGGGCTGTCGTTTGGAAAAAACCGCTTTGCCACGGACTTAGAATGAACCTTAAGAGGTGAACAAACATCAGCGCATATCATGGCATTCCCTGTTCTGCAGTTTGTGTCCCTACATCGGGACAGATCATCCATGTCTGATGACTTCATGGATATTTTCGACATGTCAGCATATGTCAGCCCTACTAGTAGTTGTTTTTCGATCCGCTCAGTTCTATTTCGCATGGTGCGAGGTGATCCTGGAAGCCGGGGTAGATTCCAGAGGCGCCATGGCACCAGCAGGCCATGTCCAATAGGGAAAAATACGGACAAATGGCCATCGCAAATTTCCATCTCACAGTCATGCAGATGGTGCTCGTGCGGTACCTCTCCCAGTGACCGCTCACGGAGGCAACACGTGATGGCTCTGGGACTTCACCAGAGGCCAAGGGTGACAAGTTGTCACCTGAGAGTCCAATAGTTTCATCATGTTCAATGAAGATGCTGAAGTTTTGCTACTATCTGATTAGATTAGGTATGTGATCTAGTAAGCCAGCATCCATTTTTTCTAGTAACGCTTTGTACGTGCCTGCTGCTGCATGAGTGAAATCATGATGCAACTTGATGTAACTCTTGGGTTCTCGTTCTCAACTTGCCATGGATGTGCCTTGGTCAAAACGCGTTTCTGCCCAGACTTTGGCCTCGTGACGGTCGTGTTGTGGCTGCTGGCTCGATACAGTGTGCAGCTTGACCAGGTGCCAAGGGGCTTTCCAGTGGTCGTTGAGTCGTTGAGTCGTTGATGAAAATCGGATGACGTAGCAACAGTTGCAGAATGTTGCAGAGACAAGGCGCTGGTGCTGATCGGTGGTGTTTGTTCGAAGGACAACTCATATTCAAATGCTTACTTATCACTGTCACCCTGGTCCCAGCTGCCTTACACTTGAGCTATATATAACTTTGGGATGCTTTTGGGTTGGATGAAAATGTGCCAAGCAATGCACACTAGCTATTTGTTCACTTGTTCACAGTTTTTCATCCGCTTCAGGTTGATTCAGGTTGTGGTTGCACGAGGATGCTCCAGAATCCATCAGCGCAAAATCATCATCAAATTCTCAGCTCAGCGCTCAGAACAACGAAGTTGCTTCGAACCCCTTGCTTGATGTAGAATCCTAGTTCAGGGAAAATTACAGGAACCCCATGTACTTGATTAGAAACACAATGTTTTCCCGCAGATTTCCCCATAAACCCCAAACAAAACCATTGATAGACGACTCAACAGGCAGCAAGATTGGCTGGAAATCAGCTGCCATGCCGTTATTTTGCCGTGTTCGAAGGAGGTATGAGTGAACAGTTTTGCATGATAGAAAATTGATAGAAACATATAGAAACGAGAAACTATATTCGAATTATAGGTGCATACTGAAACTAGCATCGACACTGACTCTGTAATTATATGTAATGGAGTCTAATGGCTTGTACAGTATATTTTGAATATGGCATGATGGCAAATGGTGGCTACCTGTTCAGTGTGAACATTTACAAGGCAACCGCGTTTGAGGAAGTCTCACAAAGTTCCAAGATGAAACTCTTTTGCAAGCGGAGAACAAAAAACAGTTCATTTATGGATTGCTTGGGGCAAGACAATGACGAGTGCTTAAATTCCAGAAGAGAGTTAGCGGCCTACATGGCCTTCGGCTCAACATGCTTACTTGATTGTACAATTCTTCTAGATAGAACAGTGACCCATTGACATGCCCATACTAGACATGAATGATTATGAAACATATAACATATACTTCAGATTTCAGATTGCGCTGCCTCAACGCCCAAGGCTGACTGGCAGGCAAGAAAAGTGTCACCCTCATCCATGATTTGAACATGTCAAAGAAGGCGTCCCGCCTTGTCCCACTCCCAAGGCCAGTGGAGATATGGTTGCCACTTGTCGCACTTGCAGGGTGAAGTGTGGGGAAGGAAAGCGAGTGGCAGTAAATTTTTGACGCAGAAGAGTAGTGTGAGTCATACTCGTAACACTTTGCAAAAGGCGCAAGATGTAAAGAATTACTTTGACGTTGGCTTGATTTGTACTTTGCAGTTGCAGGTTGAAAGCAGCTGTATGTTTAGGGCAAGCTCCAAAATGGATGATGTATTGGAGGGCCAAGGGATGACTTCATGCGCATAACTTCACAACATAACATTTCTCTATGGGTTGTCGTTGTTTTCCCCCTTTGAAATGTTAAGTACTTCCAAGATCCAAGTGTAAAAGGCATCAAGTCAGACAATTGAAGCAATTCTGGGTACACTTCCTGTAGGTTCGGCTTTTAGTGTGCATGTCGTGGTATGACAGTATTTGGACTGGAGCATTAACATCTGGCTATTTGTCAAACGGTGCATGGAAGACAGGTGCAGCCAGGAGGGTGTAAGATGCAATCTTGGGAGATGCCAGGTGGAGGGCCAGGTGGAGGCTCTATCAATGCCATTGGACATTTGCCGAACACTAAGGCAAAGCAGCCAACTGATCCTGCGCTGTAGCTTGGGACTTGATGAAGTTGACTGCTTTAGATGCTAGCTGAATCACTGAAGGGATACGTGTGTAAGGCTTGATGAGACTAGCTAGCTGGATAATGTTGGATACGGGTCAATGAGCCATTTTCATTCCATTTTCTTCTTTGCAATAGCGAGATGGGCTCATCGTGCAGCCTTGAAGGCTCGGAGACAGCTTTCAATCCTTTGTAAAACGACAGCATGGACGTACACGTTGTGAGTATGAAGGGGGTGCCCTCCAAACAGCAGATTTGATAACTGCATCCTGACTTTTCATCCAAAAAACGCATGGTTCAGCAACTCATCGATTCTCACAATCCGAAGTGAGTCATTAGTCATTAGATCACCACCAAATGGGAAAGCAGGCTAACCTCGAAATGCATGGTTGACTGTCACCGTTGATGGCCTGGAAGTCTTTCTACGACATCCTGGAGGTTGACAAGAGTGCTACATTGGAGGAGATCAAGTTGGCCTTCAAACGACGTGCGCTGCAGGTTCATCCAGACAAGGGTGGCAGCAAGGAGGCTTTCCACTTGGTTTACGAAGCACTTGAGACCTTGGCCGACCCAGCCGCGCGCAAGAAGTACGACCATGGCCTAGCTACAGGGAAGTCTGGAAACTTGGTGCAACCACAACCAGATGGCCAAACAGGGAGGAAGAAAACTTCAAAGAAACGTGGCCGCTCTGCAGCAAGCAAGGCACATCCGAAGCCAGAGAAGACTGAACGTCCAGAAGCAAAGGCTGCTAGAGGCCAAGCTAAGCCTGAATCAGAGACACCCCAAGCACCCCAGTCCAAGCAGACCAAGCTGTTGATCAAGATCCGTGATCTCTTGAAACAGTTGCCTCGAGATGTGCGAAATGATGTGTTCACCAAGCAGTTCTCCCAGAAGCAGCGGCTGATTCTGGAGAAATGGATGGTGGATGATGCGTCATCAAGGCCTCAGGGTCGAAGAGAGGCGGTTCCATTGCCACTGGCGGAGGGTTGTGTGGGGAGTCAGCCATTGGCCATCGCAAAGCTCCAGCATGTCTCTGATGATGAGGATTGCGATTCAGCTGTCCAACCTTTGGACACCTTGAGCCTAGTTCCATCGCAAAAGGCCACGACCAGTGGCAGCCTGAGGAGAAACATCTCTGGGTCTGGCAACATCAAGAGCGATAAAAGCGGGTATGGTGGCTACAGCGCTCGGATTTGCTTTGATGCCTTGCAATTGTCAACCAAATACAGTGATCTACAAACTGCGCTGGAGTTCCTAGTGATTTTGACATCTGTAAAGCAGAGGATGCTCGACAGCATGAACACGCCTGCCTCTTTCGAGGAGCGCATGGAAGAAGCATTGACGTCATCGGTCCGGGAGCAGGGGAGAAGTGTCGCAGAACTCAACATGCGCTTTGCTGTTTTTCAATCAGGCAGCTTCCTCATTGGCAGAAGATTCCAACTCCATTCTCCAGTTGTCCGCAGCGTGCAAGAACTGGGGAAACTTCGTAGTCGCTTAGAGCCTTTCCGACAGTATGCCAAAAATGTGGGATCGCAAAGCATCTATTGGTGGTACAGCCCAGCCCACCTGCAAGATGCATGGGAACGATTTCAACTTGCAGTAGCTGACGCGTGGCAAATGGCAGGTGTTGACAGCGCATCATACATCCAGAAACTTCGCAGCTACTATCAAGCAACTGCAGCTGCGCGCCAGAGGTTCTCGCAGTCTTGGGAGCGGCAGCATATGGCCATGCAGGACAAAAACAAATATCGGCCGAACCGTTTGCGACAAAGGAGTGCCACTAAAAACCTGGAACTGAAGGAGCGTTGGCAGATGGCCATCGAGGACAAGCATGAACATCGGCCGAAATCTTGGCGAAAACGCGTGAGGAAAAGAACCTTTGAAAAGATGCTGCGCCGAAAGCTGCTGATACTCAAGAAGCTTCTTGCGAGATGGGAGTGCATGTTGAGAAGGGAGGCGCGGCTTTTGGACAAGGAGCGTCAAAGAATCCTGCAGCACAGGAAGGCAAAGCGAAAGAAGGACCAAGAAGATCAAAGACGCCAGCAAGCTTTGAATCGAAAAAGATTGCGAGAGGAAGAACTCTTGAGGAGAGAGGCTGCACGCCAGAGGGCCGGAAGCGGACTCTTCATGGATCATCTTCGCTGGGCGTGACCTGGTGTGAGACGGAATAAGGAGCTTGCGTGCGGAACTTACAGCAATTGACAAGTAATGACGACTTTATCCTCCAAGCTTGTTCTTTCTGTTGACATTTTACCGTATCTATTTTTAGGGGGGCCGTCGTTGCTGGTCATCCTTTTGCTGTGAAACTTCACCGAGTTGAAGGGCCATGAGCACATTTTAAGTAGTGTTTTCTTCAAGTCCTTTGTCATGTGGATGGGAGCAGTTCTCCTTCGGAATCTTAGCATCAGACGAACAGTTGTTACTTGTTCGATCTTGTTTGAAAGTATTGGGAAATCCCGTTGAATTTACCATAATATTTACAGTATCGCACGATGACTTTATGACTAATTAAAAAATGATTGGACAATGCATTTTTGAGGTAGTCTCTCATCTGCTCCATCGCTGCTTCTGTATTCGATGTTGTAGTGATCCTTTTCAGCTGTCCCATCAGTCATTGGATTGGTTTAAGGGAAAATTTACAGGAAACCCCTATATTTAATGGTAAAAACCATGGTTTCCTGTAAATTTTCCCTTAAACCAATCCAATGAATCAGATTATCACTCCCCAAGCTTCACCCTTGACTTGTGATCACCGACTCCGCCGGGCAACGCAAAGGTCAGTGCAGATACATGGGGCCCATGGGGCAGGGATGCGCAGCGTGGAATCCTGGAATGTTCGAACGGAACTTAGAAACCAACAACGGACAGATTGAAACAATATGAAACATCAGTTTCATTCAGTTTCTATATCCATTTTGAGAGTTTTGGATTTACAGTAGATTATAATAATTTTTGAAAGGGTACTACCGGTGACATGCTTCGAAACACCTTCCAGGTGATCTTGTTGGACTGTTTTAGTTTTACTAGGCAACGATGAGCAGATTTCATATTATTATTAAACTCATTTAAACCTCATGTTATAATGGGCCATTTCTCGATACTCTGGTGTTTGCTAGATTTGCCTGTGCTACAAGCTTCATGTACTCAATCGCACTTGTTCCGGCGATTGAGTCAGCAGATTTTGATGAAGGGATGTTGTTTGTCTTAAAGCCGATTTTCAGAACTGCCACGGAATACATTCTTGCTTGACAACAGTTAAACGGTGGCCACGTGCAGCCTGAATATTTGTGCACGATTGCATTGCGCAGTTTGAAGCCGTATCAAGCACCATCCTGGATTGATATGAGTGAGCATTTGTCATCATGATCATGTGAGAGCACATCTTTAGGAGATACTGTACTGGGGTTCCATGGGGTTCTCGTGACGTCACTGCGGCCATGGTACAGTAAAGAGCAAGACAGTTTTTAAAATGGTTTACGCAAGTCTCAAGTCAGTGTTGATGTTGCAAAGAATGCTGTAACGTATGGCAAATAATCAAACATAACTTAACTAAATAAGAACTGCCCTTGATGGCCTGGAAGTCTTTCTACGACATCCTGGAGGTTGACAAGAGTGCTACATTGGAGGAGATAAAGTTGGCCTTCAAACGACGTGCGCTGCAGGTTCATCCAGACAAGGGTGGCAGCAAGGAGGCCTTCCATTTGGTCTATCAAGCACTTGAGACCTTGGCCGACCCAGCCGCGCGCAAGAAGTACGACCATGGCCTAGCTACAGGGAAGTCTGGAAACTTGGTGCAACCACAACCAGATGGCCAAACAGGGAGGAAGAAAACTTCAAAGAAACGTGGCCGCTCTTCAGCAGGCGAGGCACATCCAAAGACAGAAAAGGCTGAACGTCCAAAACCAAAGGCTGCTAGAGGCCAAGCTGAACCTGAATCAGAGACACCCCAAGCACCCCAGTCCAAGCAGACCAAGCTGTTGATCAAGATCCGTGATCTCTTGAAACAGTTGCCTCGAGATGTGCGAAATGATGTGTTCACCAAGCAGTTCTCCCAGAAGCAGCGTCTGATTCTGGAGAAATGGATGGTGGATGATGCGTCATCAAGGCCTCAAGCAGGCCCAGAGCCGAAGCCCCAAGTAGGCTCAACGCTGCAGGTGCAAACAGTCTCTCCAAACGAAGCTATTCCAGTGCAGCAGCTAGGTGCCCATACCTCTGTGGCAAGCGACAAATTAGAATCGATGGATGTGCCGTGTCGGAGGAGTTGCGATGCCCTTGCCATGCCAGCAGCCAGCTCCAGTTCAAAGATGGATGTGCCTGGGACCAGAAGGAAGAAGCTGTCAGGTAGGCAATGCAAGATCAGGGACAAGAAGAAAGAAAACACACAGGTGCGAAGCACATGCGGGGCTGTCATGAAAGAACCAAGTCACCTTTTGGGTCCACGCTACAGGGCCCGGATTCGATTTGATGCTTTAGAAATGTATACTCGGACGGTCGACTTGCAAACAGCTTTGGAGTTTTTGGTGATTTTGACTTCTGTCAAGCAAAAAAGGCAGGAAAAGCAGGAAGTGACAAATAAAAGCGCAACATTTGAGGAGCGTTTGCAGGAAGCTTTGCTTTCTTCTGCCAAAGGGCAGGAATCAGATCTCGATCTTCGCTTTTCAATTCTGCTGGCTGCTGGCTTTCTTATTGCACCAGGCTTCACCCTACGAACCCCCAAAGTTCGCAACGTGGAACAACTCGGACGACTTCGCAGACTTTTGGAGCCATTTCGCACCCGGACCGGGATTAAAAAGAACCAGATGTTTGTGCAGTACAGTCCAGCTGGGCTCCAAGATTCTTGGGAACAGTTTCAAAAAGCCGTGGCTGCAGCGTGGGAAATCACAGGAGTAGACAGTACGAAGTACATGGAGCAGCTGCGCGCTGGCTATGCGGCAGCTGCAAGTTCACGCCAGAAGCATTTGCAATGGTGGGAGAGGCGGCACATGAACATCCAGGATAAGAACATCTATCGGCCACAGAAATTCAAAGATCCCAGCACCAAGCGTTTGGAGCGTCGGGAGCGGTTGTACATGGCAAAGCACGACAAAAAGAAACTTCGCCCAACAGCTGGCTCTTTGGAGCATTGGGAACGGCAACAGATGGCAATGCAAGATCAGAACAAACATCGGCCACGGCGATTGCAAAGACCTATCCTGCAAGGTCCCTCAGAGACCAAGAAGTTGTTGACCTTGAAGCTGCTTCTTGCAAGGTGGCAGCGTATGCTGAATTTTCAACAGAAGAAAAACCAGGAAAAGAGACGACGCTTGGAAAGATTGAAGCGAAAGCGGCTCCGAGAAGAAGAACGAATCAGGAGAGAAGAAGCTGCCCGCAAGCGGATGAGATCCACTGATTAGATGCAAGATATACAGTGGATTTGAAAGGATTTTTGGGGCACTTGTGGCCAAAAAAACCATTGGGCAAACTGGGTTGCTTTCTAGCAGGAGGCAGTGGTTCTATCAGATCAGGCAGCCCAAATTTTGAAGCCTGCAAATGAAATATTGCAGTAAGCACGTGTGAGCACCCAAGACCGTAAGAGATACCACCAGGGAGCGGCAGAGCATGACAATGCGCGGCAAGAGCACACAAGGTCGAAAGAGCGTGTGAGAAGAGAGCACCAGCCCCTTACAATGATGTGAGTCGTGGCACATGGCCACTGAGGAGAGGTGCTCACATCGGAAAGAAAATGGGAATGCATGCAGGTGACATTCTGATTCTTGTACCACACCGTGGCTCGGTGAGAATCAAGAAAAGCTGCCCCGTGCAGCCTGTAGTCGCGACAGATGGCGATGGAAAGGCTTAGGTGGAGAGGTACCATAGTGACCGGACATACCTAGAACCTCGAAAGCGTGCAAAAATATTGCTCTTTCAGAATTATGTGATATTTTTTTGAAACGGCACTTTTTCTGGCTGCGAGCACTTTTCCATTTTAAGATGGTTGAACTGATTTTTCAGAAATTGACAGTTTACATGAGTCTTATTGCTCCAACGGACCTTCTGAGCTCCAGAGAGTGCTACCTGATTTCGTTTGCGCCCTTTTGTGTTGCCTGGTATTGTCAATAGCTAGTTTTTGATTGGTTGGGTGTCTGGAATGATTGTGCACGAACGTTCCAGCATTATCAACGAAACAAATAACTCATGAATGCAATATTGAAAAACATGAAAAAGATTGAAAAAGCGCTTTTGCCCGGCGAAAAAGCGTTTTTTCCAAGCGAAAACGCACATTTTCTCGTTGAACAACCTTTATTTTTTGAGGGGCATAAACCATTGCCCTGGGAGAACCAAAGTAACCTATGTACCGGCAATGGGTCCTTGGACAAGCCTCATTCGAATAGTTTGGCTTTAAGTAACGGGAGAATGATCTTGAACTCTGAGAGTGCAACAAAGTTTTGTCAAATAAATTGCGTGGCAGTCAGCATGTTCTACATCCTGTTCCTATGAGGGTGAAGGGCCAGGGTCAAGAGCAGAATTCCACGAAACGACCTTTTTTTTCTGAAACGACTTAAATTTCCTGAAGCAACCAAAATTATTGCATTTTTACGAAACGCCCAAAAAAAAAGCAGACCATGAGGATGTAGGTATCATGGTGTGGGAAAACAAATATTGATATGTGAGACATCGAGAAGCAGGCTGTTGGCTGAGGCAACCAGCAACTCAGTAACGTTCATCTCACTGATGTGCCGGAAGTGCTGAGTGTTGTATCGAAGCTTCTTGAGTGATTACTTTCACACACAAAAACACCAAGCAGCAAACCGTGCTGTTGAATCCGTCCCTGTCGAGTTCAGTTGATCACACAATCAAAACACACTTGCTTCTGGTTACATAGTCAAGGTTGCTCCAATTTTTTGGGAACCGGAGATCGTGTGCTGCTGCAGGTCCTTGATCTGCAAGATTGCCCTGAGACACTGTCGGAAGACATCACGCTGATGAGGTGGGGCACGTTGACGGACGCAAAACACCAAGCATAACCGCATCGCCACCAATTGACTGCGGATTTGTTGGGTTCTGGTATCGAATCAGTTGTTACTAGTTAATTTTTAGTTTTATGTCACCGCAAGTCAGCATTATTCTTACCGTCGCGGAGTATTGCTGGGATGATAGCTGAAAAAGGATTCAAGCGGTCTTTCACATCACA